GACCAAACGGTCCGACTAAACCGACCGACCAAACGGTCCGATCAAATGGACTGACCAAACTGACCGACCAAACCGACTGATCGACCAAAAGGACCGACCAAGCTGACAGACTAAAAGGACAGATCAAACTGACCGATCAAATTGACCGAACAAACTGACTGACAAAACTGACCAACCAAACGGTCTGAACAAATGGACCCACCAAACAAACTGACCAAACCAACTGACCAAACTGACCAATTAAAAGGACCGACCAAAAGGACTGACCAAACGGTCCGATCGAATGGACTGACCAAACTGACCAACTTAAAGGACAGATCAAACTGACCGAACAAACTGACCGAACAAACTAACCGACAAAACAGACCAACCAAAAGGACAGATCAAACTGACCGACTAACAGGACCGACCAAACTGACCGATCAAATGGTCTGACCAAACGGACCGAACAAGCTAACTGACCGACCAAAAGAACAGATCAAACTGACCGATCAAATGACCGAACAAACTGACTGACAAAACTGACCAACCAAACGGTCCAACCAAACTGGCTGATCAAACCAACCGACCAAAGCGACTACCCAAATGGTCTGACAAACAGACAAAACAAATGGACCTACCAAATGGACTGTCAGTCTGATCAAATAGACCAACCAAACTGATCGACCAAACGAACAAAAGGAGTGGACCAGCCAAAGGGGCAGTCGGTCCGACCAAACGGACCTACCTGTCCTTTGTGTAAAGTCTTTAACAACAGGCAGCCCCAGCTTCACACCTGCCATCAGCTCAGAGGAGGTCTGCAGCTGCAGCTCATCATGGTGTGTGTTTCACCTGTCATCATGTTTAGTCTCNCTGTCATCTCCGAGCCAATCTGAGGACAAAACAAACGTCTTTAACTGCAGCTTTATCAGTTGGTTCTGTTGGGTTCTGTTGGGTTCTGATGGGTTCTGTTTTTGGTCTTATTTCCTGTCCGACCGGCTCACAGCTCCTCCTCTCAGTGGTCCTGCAGTCTTCGTCCCTCTCCTCCTCCTCTTCATCTAAATCTAMATTTTATGACCTGCGGAGCCTCGGGGGTCTCCTCTTCTGAGCGCGTGAAAAGAAACGGTTCTGGCAGTAAAAAGGAGGCAGCAGAGCGGGCCGGGCTCTCCCCGGACCTGACACCAGATTACAGGAAACTGTAAAGCAGCTGGGCGGTGTYGCTGCGCTGCTTTGTTCCCCTCTGCGTGGTGGGAGCTGCAGTCTGATGAAGGTTATCTGAACCTTATCTGTGAGGAGAGGAAGGTTCAAACCAACACTGTGGAGAAGTTTCAGCAGCTCCTCCTCAGACTGTCAGGAGATGAGCGTTCAGTCATCAGATGGTTAGATTAGAGTAAATATCACTGGTTAACATTTGTCACACTGATCT